TCACCTTTACTATTTTTTGTTACCACTTGACTTGAAGTTCTTCATGATATGCAGCAAATGAAGTCAATCCTTTAGAAAACGTTGAGAGACATATGCTTTACTTCCATCATGAAGCATTTCAGAGTCAGGCTCAGTATGCAGGGCTGTTGGAGAGCTAAAAATATACATGAAGATCAATGTGCTTAGAATGAGGAATCCATATGGTGGTGTAGGAGTTCCTTCTGTTTGTATGTTGCTTTCATTTGATAATGAATAAAAAACTGCCTTGGCCTAGTTGATAGGGTAGAACTTAGGTAGGTGGAGAAGACAGAACTGGATTCTGGGAGAAAGAAAGCAGAGTGAGAGAACCGCCATGGAGCCACCAGAATCAGACATGCTGAATCTTTCCTGGTAAGCCATGACCTTGTGGTGATATACAGATTAATAGAAATGGGTTAAATAAAGATGTGAGAGTTAGCCAATAAAAGACTAGAGATAATGGGCCAGGCATTAATTTAATTAATACCATTTCTGTGTGGCCATTTGGGTGGCCAGGACAAACAAAGGGCCACCTTCCTTGTGCAACACTATGGAGCATTTTTTTTTTTTTTACTGAGCTGCACTCACAGTTCTTATATTTCTTTTTAAATGCACATTTTGAGCAAGACAAATGGTAGTTAGAAACGTCCTGCCCTTTGAAGAGATAACAAAAAGATATTTCAAATTAAATGATATAATACAATTAATCATGGAAGTTTTTGTTTCCCAAGATGGTAAATACTGAGAGGAAATCTGTGTGCTGTTGTACAAAGTCTAAAAATTGCCACATTGATTTGAACATTGAACAAGGAACCCTAAGAAGGAGAATAGCATATTACATACTATTGTGATATAAATTTTAATGTTCCCTACAGATTTACATACTTGAATGCTTGGTGCCCACTCAGTGGTACTGTTTGAGTAGGTTGAGGAACATCTATAAGGTGGAGGATGACTGGAGAAAACGGGTCATGGAGGTGGACCTTGAGGCGTTATAATCTGTCACACTTCCTATTTGAAGTGAGGATGTAATGTAACCAGACTCTTGTCTCTGCCAGAGGCCTTCCCTCCCGACCTTCTCTGCCATAATGAATATATCTACCCTAGTGTAGGTCATAATACTCCATTTATCACTTACATTGTTTTTCCTATGGGCTGTATTAATCATATCAACCAAAAAGTAATTCTCTTCTTCCATCCCTCACCCCATCTGTCTGTCTGTCTTTGTCTCTGTTGCTGCTCCCCCCACATACACACATGCACACACAAACACGCATGATTAAAAAAAAACAGATAGACTTAAAACATTGAAAGGAAGATAATTGAGAATCTGAATGTCATAATAACCCTCACATTTAGACTCCCCTGTCCACACAATTTCCTTACCATAAGAATCCGCCTTGTCCTGGTTGTTCCTCCTACCTATTTTCGCTCAATATTTTCCTTTGTAAAAAATTATTATGACATATGTAGCTGGTGAAAGCCAAGAATTACATAACCTGTAACCAAGGTTAGAATGAGAGCAACTTACAGAATATGTATTTATTAAGACAATCTTAACCTAAATATATGAAGTGCAACTGGACAGTGGTGGCAAGTGCCTTTAATCCCAGCACTCAGGAGGCAGGGGCAGGCAGATCTCTGTGAGTTTGAGGCCAGCCTGGTCTACAAGAGCTAGTTCCAGGACATCCCCAAAGCTTCAGAGAAACCCTGTCTTGAACTCATCTTCCCAAAAATAGATATGAAGGGCTTCTTTCTCTTAAAAAATGCTTAAAGTTTAAAAATAAAAGCAGATGAAAAAAGATAAATCCTGGTAGTTACATTTTTTTTAGACTCAAATGTCCCAGTTTTATTTTTTATTTTATTAAAAATTTCCTCCTCCTCCCGGCCTCCCTTTTCCCTCCCCCTCCCCCCACTCCCCACACCTCCTCGCCCTCCCTCTACAGTCCAAAGAGCAGTCAGGGTTCCCTGCCCTATGGGCAGTCCAAGGTCCTCCCGCCTCCATCCAGGTCTAGGAAGGTGTGCATCCAAACAGCCTAGGCTCCCACAAAGCCAGTACATGCAGTAGGATCAAAACCCAGTGCCATTGTCCTTGGCTTCTCAGCAGCCCTCATTGTCCACCATATTCAGAGAGTCCGGTTTGATCACATGCTTTTTCAGTCTCAATCCAGCTGGCCTTGGTGAGCTCCCAATAGATCAGCCCCACTGTCTCAGTGGGTGGGTGCCCCCACCTCATGGTCTTGACTTCCTTGCTCATGTTTTCCCTCCTTCTGCTCCTCATTTGGACCTTGGGAGCTCAGTCCAGTGCTCCAATGTGGGTCTCTGTCTCTATCTCCATCCATCGCCAGATGAAGGTTCTATGGTGATATGCAAGATATTCATTAGTATGGCTATAGGATAGGGCCATTTCAGCTGCCCAAGGACCTAGTTAGGGACATCTCTCTGGAACCCTGGGAACTCCTCTAGAGTCAAGGCTCTTGCCAACCCTAAAATGGCTTGGTAGTTTCATTTTTTTTTAATTTTAATTTTTATTTTTTAAATTTATTTATTTATTAAGGATTTCTGCCTCGTCCCCACAACCGCTTCCCATTTCCCTCCCCCTCCCCCGATCAAGTCCCCTCCCTCATCTGCTTAGAGAAGCTAAATAAGGTAGTTTCATTTTTGATCAAACATTCTGTTTTACAGTACTTGCTGCTTTTTGGTTGGATTACCATTCTCCAATTCTTCAGTTGTATTGCCCTTTGAGTTTGAAGTGTCATCAGAGACTCACGTTCTGAGCACTTACGCCGAGCAGGGAGTACTGTTTTGAGGAGATTGACAGGTTGTAGAAGGTGTCTAGTTGTGAGAAGTTGGTCATAGGGCTTTGGAAGGTGATATCTTGACCTCTAGGTCTGTCTTCTCTCTGCTCCTAGGTATGCCATGATGTGAATAACTGACTTCCACTGCACAGTCCCATTTCTGTAAACTGAACTGCATCCATCATGCCCTTTTTGCCTTGATGGACTGAACTAGAAGCCAAAATAAACATTTCCAAGCTGTCAAGAGAAGTTACTGAATAAAGGTAGCTATTGCCAAGACTGACAGAGTGAATATGATTCCTGGGATATACATGGTGGAAGGAGAGTACAAACTCTGATGGAGGAAGGTCATTGGTTAAATAAAAAGAAACTGCTTGGCCCTCATTGGTTCGAAGATAGGTGGGAGGAGTAAACAGAACAGAACGCTGGGAGGAAGAGGAAGTGAGCTCAGACTCCACAGCTCTCTTCTCGGGAGCAGACGCGTCAGAGAGATGCCATGCTCCCAGCTCCCAGGCAGACACACGCGATGAAGCTCTGACCCAGGATGGACATAGGCTAGAATCTTCCCGGTAAGCACACCTAGGGGTGCTACACAGATGATTAGAAATGGGCTAAATTAATATGTGAGAATTAGCCTAGAAGAGGCTAGATAGAAATGGGCCAAGCAGTGATTAAATGAATGCAGTTTGTGTGTTGTTATTTTGGGCATAAGCTAGCCAGGTAGCTGGGGTGCTGGGGACGCAGCCCCGCCGCTCTTATTACTACAAAACTCCTACATGCTGTCTTCTGACCTCTATGTATATGATGTGGGATTCACATAGCATATATATCGATACATACATGCATAATTGTATAAATACATACATACATACATACATACACACATGTATACATGCATAAATACATACGGAAAATAAAAATAAAAACAACCTTTCCTCCCTTAATTATTTTAATTAGATATTTTGGTCATTTTGACATGAAATAGCTGGTATGACTTTGAAGCTTTTGTGCCCTTGTTTTCAGGTTAAAATTTGTGACTGACAGCATGAGGATCTGCCTGAGTTTCAGAATATATCAGTGAAATCACGGACATTTATGGTCCATTGGCTACTTGCTGATAGTGATCGATGCCTTAGATACTGGTAGAGGAGGAAAGGCCTCAGTCAAGATTGGCTCCATCGTCTTGCTTTAAATTGCTCCTTACATCCTGGTTTCCCAACTCACAGTGAGGGCCTCTGACTTTGAATTCCACAGACATGCACTAGGTGTACATCGAGATGACAGGGTCTGTAAGTATCTAGGAACTATTTGGCCAGTCACCTGTTTTTATATAGGAAGTTCCGTGGAATACGACCATATGTCACCTGTAGGTACTTTTGTCAGAATTGGATTACTGGGACAGAAAAGCTTTCTTTTCAAGTTGTAAGTTCTTATTTCCTTCTTTTCAAAGAAAAAGTGACTAACAATGAGTCTAAGGAATGTATGCCATGTGTTTTTTAGTGCAATCTGACTTGACTATGCTGTATAACAACTGCCAATTTTGACTGTTCTCCAATGATTGATATTGTATGTACCCAAATTCCAGTGATTATTTCTTGTAATTTTACTCATTTCAGTAATATCCCACATTAGCTTTAACTTCTCACTTCTTATTGACTAATGGTAAGAAATAGAACTTTGCATGTTTGTCAGGTATGTGTATTTTTTTCACAACTGACTGTTACCTGCGTTGTTAACTTTACACAGCTGTGCTGGTGTTTTACTTTGCTGTTATTGTAAGGAGTTCACTTTTAGTGTCATTCACACTTCCATCTGGACTTATAGGTCGTTTTCTTATTAACCAACTAGTTCTACTCTGATAAGCAATGTGCATAGGGATGAGGAGGCTTTTCCAACGTCACATTCTTGACCTCTGGGTGCTTAAGACCTATATTATGGATCCAGTGATTTCTGTCTCCTCAGTCTAAGAGGTATAGGCCTATTATCCCAAACTAGAGAAGCCAGGGGCTTAAGACGATAGGTAGACATATGGTTTTTCTCAATGTATTATATCTTTGGTATATGCCTATCAGTCTATAATAGTCTGTTTTAAGGGATCGTTTATAACAGAAAGGGCAAAGGGATGCCAACTACTGTGTCTGACAGAAAACAAAACCATCTCTCCAGGTTATTCTCTGATATCTCTCATGCTGATCTTTCCTTCCACAGTGCCCTTCTCAGGGCAGTTTTTACCTCAGCATTCCTCAGGCTGTAGATCAGGGGGTTCAGCATTGGGTTGAAAAGGCTGTAAAACAGGGAAAGTATCTTCTGCTGTGTCTCTGGGTTCTGAGACTTGGGAGCCATGTACATAATTATGGCACTGCCAAAGAAGAGCCCGACCACACAGAGGTGGGAGGAGCAGGTGGAGAAGGCCTTTCTGCGACCCTCCCCTGACTGGATTCTTAGAATGGTCATCAGGATGCGTGTGGAGGAGACCAGCACTAAGCATAAGGGTCCCACTAAGATGAACACACAAGCTGCAAAGATGACAATTTGATTGAGTGCTGTGTCAGCACAGGCCAGCTTGAGGACAGACAGGATTTCACAGAAGAAGTGATTGATTTCATGGGGTCCACAGAAGGGCAGTCTCAGGATGAGGACTAAATGGACCAGAGCCAGGAGGAAGCTTAATATCCAGGAAGCAGCACCCAGGATAGTACATACTCTCCAGTTCATGATAACAGTGTAGTGTAGGGGATGACAGATGGCCACAAACCTGTCATAGGACATCACCACCAAAATCAGGCACTCTATGTGAGCAAAAGCCAAATACAAGAATGTCTGCATTATGCATGGAATGAAGGAGATGGTTCTTTTAGACACAAGATTTGCCAGCATCTTGGGGACGTTGTTGGCAGCATAAGACATGTCAACAATGGCCAGATGTGAGAGGAAGAAGTACATAGGTGTGTGCAGTCTGTGGTCCAGGCATATTATTCCAAGGATGACCCCATTCCCAAGAAGAGTAAAGAAATAAAAGAGAAAGAAAAACCCAAAAAGAAAACACTCTACAGAGAAATCAGCTTGGAATCCAAGTAGAGTAACCTCTGTGATCCATGTCTGGTTGCCTCTCATTCTCCTGTGGCAAAGAGCTTGTTCAGACGCAAAACATCAGGGCTGTGGAATAATCAATGATACAAAGTACTTAATGATTATGATAGAGAAAACATTTTGAAACATCATCCAGGACGGAGTATTGGGTTTTGTCAGATACATTACAAAATAAACTTCTCTGTAGTTATAAAAATGAGGGAAATGTCCAGCTATATGCTTATGATATTAAGAGAAAAGAGCAGTGAGTGACATGGCTCAGTGGATAAATCTAAATTCAGTCTCCTGGACCCACATGGCGAACAGAAAGAGCCAACTGTACACGTTGTCCATTGACTTCCACCTATGCTCTGCAGTCACAACCACCTGTATGTAAACACATGTGCACCACAATCAGTCAATCAATGTGTTTAAAAATAAGTGTGTACATGTCCATATCAGTATATAAAATAAAATGTGATACCACAGAACAATGTGTTTCAGTGTGTCCTACGTAAGAGGATTCACATTCAAATATACACACATGTGCTGTGTTGGAGAATTCAGGTTTTCTGGTTCCATTTTAGTTATGAGAGTCTTGACCACTCACGTGGTTTGAAGACAGATAGTCTCGACAAAATGGACTAGGTATTTTCCCTTCAATTCCTGGGCTTTCCTTTCTTCTCTGTACAGTTCTGACATGATCAATGGCCTTTGTTCTTCATGTACCTTCCCCTTAAGCCGGCACAGGTGCTCATATGCTTCATATCCATATCTGAATAACCTCAGTGTTGTACTTTCTTGAAAACTTAAGAGTTTCCTTATCAGAAGTATTCTGGGCTTATTTGCACCCATCTTTCAGTGTTTGTTACTTTATTTTGAGTTTTGTGTATTTTTTCACTAATATTCAATACACACTTTAGTCATAATTTAAAGAATAATTTAGGCATGTGCAATGGGCACAGATATATGCCTTAAGTATGTATGGCCATGTACCATACACTGATGTATATATGTAGTCCCATAAAATTATCTCACCTAATGAAGTCACTGCATTTTTGTCTGTGATGTACACTCAGTGGTGCTCACATAATGACAGAATCATCCAATGTAGATTTCGTAGGCAGTGCCTCCCATTAAATAATAGATGACTGCACAAGTCAACATGTGCCCTTCTGATTCTCTTTAGACAAAACACTCAAAGGGGGAAAGCAGCTTACATTAACAGTAAAATGATAATTTCATTTTAATTATATTTTGTTTGGTTCTTTTCTTTAATAAAATAAAATAGAGACAGTGCCTAACTTATGTTCTGGTCATCATCTTTTGTCCTCGGTATCTTTGCAGTTTGGTAAGTCAGACGACCAACAAAGCCTTTCACAAGCTCTTCCTCACCACCAGTACCTGATGCAGTTCAGATTCATTCTGGGACACTCACAAGGGTGCTGAGTTGGAATTAGTGGTTAGTTCACTTTAGAAAGATTTTTCATAGAGGGATTTGGGTCTATCTAGCCAGAAGATGGAGGCAGGTGATAAAAGGGATGGGAGAAAATGCCACTTACAAAGTCTACTGGGTATGTGCTGTCACATGGCACTTTACCCACATCACCACCCCAGAGAAATAACCTTAGCTCTATTAAATCACATCAATATTTTAAACTCAAATGGTGTTTTTTACAATTTAAACTATTTAGAGCCTCAAGCTATTTATTACAAGTTGGATTATACTAATAAAGTAATTTTTCACTTAATAAAAGAAACAATTTCATGATATAAAATTATATTGCATGCTTGTTATTTAAACAAGAACAATTTATTTTCTAACAATTTGGAATTTTTTTCCATTTTTCTTCTTTCTACTATTCTTGAGGTGAATATTCTTATATTTTCAAGTTTTGCCTGTACTCATGAGTACTTCCTTAGGATATGTTGGCAACTTTAACATGCCTCTTTTCCTAACATCTCATATGGCTGCATTCTCTGTGGAAGATGAAAGCAGTTTCAGTTCTTGCTGATGGTGTGCACCATGTTTCTTTTCCACAGGACATTATAGTCAAATCTGTGCTATTTTATAACTACAGATCCAGCTCATTGGTAGTGTGTTTACTTACCAGGTGCAAGCCCCAGGTTCAGTACTTAACACTCTGAGCATCAAACAAGAAAAACCAATAGTCTTTGATAATTTAACAAGTGGATACATTTGTATAGTTTACATTTGTGTATCATCAATCACTTAATAAATGTCCCCAAGTACAGATCTGCTCCCACTTTGTATTGGGTCTGAAGGAATAACTGAGCATGGGAAGATATATTCTAAATTGGAGGAGATGAAGAATTACTGTTAGTGCAGTTCTGGTCCCTCAGACTTCCATATAGTGATGAAATCTTCAGTACCACTGGGTGAGATTGCTTTGAGATATACCTCCAGCTCTCCATCTTTATCTGCCAATTTATATGATTTATGAAACAAGAAAAGATAACAAGAACATTATCATTAGTTATTTTTGTCTCCTAAGCATTTCTAGATCATTTTTGCTTATTTTTGGCTGAAGTTGGGTTATTTGTTGTCATTTTAATTTGGATAAAATATTTGTTAAAGATATGTTTTCCAATAAGCCTCACTAGAAGAACATTTATGTTGATTTCTACCTGATCCCTCTATCTCTTGATATGTTCCCCCCACCAAATTTAAATGGAGTTCAGTCCTGGTACATTACCATTCTCACATCACCAAGAAAAAACAAGTTGTCAAGATAATCAAGTGTAAAGAGAACTAAGAAGAAATCAAGTAGGATGAAACAAAGAAATCTATACTGTTTAAAGAGGTCTGTTTTTAAGAACTGGGCTCACTAAGTTGCACAGACTGACTCCAACTCCTGGGTTGAAGTGATGCTTGCTCCTACCTCAGCCCCCCGAGCAGCTGGGACTCAAGTGGATGCTACCAAGTTTGTCTATAGATGGCAGTTTTTAGGTGAGATGAGAAAATTTCTTCCTCAAATAAGGTTTAAGTGGAACTTAAATGAAGGGAAGTTTCAATAGTCTGCTCAGAAACATAGGCACACCATGTACTACACTGAGGGCAGTAGAGAACAGTGAAGGCAAATTCCCTGAACAGGAAGTACTTGTAGGGTTCCAGAAAGAAAAAGAATTCAGTGTGCCTGGCCCAGCATGGACAAGAGATTATAGGTATTAATTGTAGTATACGATTATTTCTTTTAAATGGAATTGACATAAAATGTTCATCAATTGGGTGTAGATTACATTTATTTGACTAGAAATACACAGCTATTAAAAGATAAGTAAAACTCAGAAACTGTGTATTTTATTTATGTACGTGTGCGTCTGTATGAGTTAACCTGTTACTCATGTGTGTAGGTGCCCACGGAGGTTAGACTGTGTTGCCTTCCCTGGAACTAAAGTTACAAGCAGTTGTCTATCACCTAATTTAAGTTCTGATAATCAAACTTAGGTCCTTTGCAAGAGAAATATGTATTAACCACAGAACAATCTTTCTGACCCAATTATAAACCTGGAAATGTAGAGAAATATAATTGTCCACACATAGTTGTTATGTGGGTGCCTATGATGTGACATATAGTTTAAAATACCAGCACATTTATATTCATCCTTTGACCTTATTTCAAACCATAAACAACACTGTAAGCAAAATGTGCATTTGTTTATATTGATTATCTCCACAGAGTAAGATTGTATAGGGACTTGCCTTTTAAATAAGTTGTTTTCCCTTTTTCCTAATAAACCTGCAATATTAGTCTGTAAAATTGAGCATTTCTATTTTGGAAAAATCTAAAGCATACTGTGAAAATAAAGTTTCACATTATTCAAGCTCATTTTAGAAGGAACTCTCACTAACTAATGAGAGTGTCTCATCTGAGATTTACTGATAGCTTCAAGTAGAGAAAAAGAAGTCTATATTATGGAAATGTTAGCCCTTATGAAGAAAAAATGGACAGGAAATTTTAACGGTATTTACTTTTCTAAAAGTGAATAAAGTTTTTTCTGAGTTATGCTGGTAGATACAATGGTCAATATTTTCCATTGACTGGCAGTAGAAATGGATCTTAAATTGGATTGGACATGATTTTTTTATCTTTTTATTTTTGTTTTCTTTGAGACAGGGTTTCCTTGTGTAGCTTTGGTGCGTGTTCTGGAACTAGCTCTGATAGACCAGGATGACCTCAAACTCACAGATATCCACTTGCCTCTGCCTCCCAAGTTCTGGGATTAAAGGTGTGTGCCACCACCTGCAGAGTTGGGCATGATTGCAACACCCAGTGATGATTGATGAAGGCAGCAGTGTAAAACAGACCTGAACTGGCGTATGTCAAAAAGCCTGATCTTTGTCAATCGAAGATGTACAATCCTATGCATTTTATGTTCCCTATCTGGTATGTGGCTTCCAAGATTTTCCAGTTAAAAAACAAAATACCAGAAACAGGAGCAAAAAGAGTGGATGAGATACAAAATCTGGAGCAACAGAGACTGTCACTTTCATAACTTTTGGAGTCTGTGTTCTTTGGAAAAGCCTAGAATCCTGAACACCAGGTCTGTTTGTGAAGTCCTCTTCTTTGTCTAGACACTGCTGTAGACCTGGGGCAGTTTTGCCTCTGTGATTTCCCCTTGCCTTTGTTTCTGAAGTTGACCAATGTGCCTGATAATGGTCTCATTTGATCTCACTACAGTGGCGTTGCTTGTGAAAGGGACTTTAGTTCTCTTTATGAACTTGAGTTTCTGTGCTGATACAACTTTGATCACTTTTTTAAAAGGTGGTAGTCATCTTGAGTTCACTCCCAAAGTCTTGTGTAGGTGTTTAGTTAGAACTCCAATGAACAGAACAAGAATTTGTTCAATATAGCCGGCAGTCGGTCACATATAGTGAGTCGATTTTATTTCAACAGATTGATACTCATTTGGCTTCATACAGGTTTATTTGTGGCTGGACTTGTATGAGCAGAATACAGAGAGCACATATTGATATTTAGGTTCTACTTGGAAGATACATAAGATGTAAATCTGTTTAACCT